TTAGTTCTGTAATTATTATTATTTAATAAACCAACGTTGGCCACAAAAAATTTAAAGACTAGATATATTATTTTTAAATAGGATCTAATATAAATAATTTTGACATCTAATTTGTTGTTTATATTTTGCTACTACGTAAAAAAAATGTTTATATTAAATTATTTTAAATTTTGTTGTTAATAGGTATAACAAATTATTACTGTTATTATTATTTTTATTAAACCAGTCTTTGCTCAAAAACATTAAAAATAATTTTCCTACATCCAAAATAACAAGTATTATTGCAGTGTAACAACAGAATATTAATAAAAAAAATGCAAAATATATAGACATACTATCCCTAACTAACTAAAGCCAAACAATAATATTCTTTGCTAATACCAACTAATACCAATATATGGCAATAGCGCCCTTCATAATGTATTTTCTGTGTACATACTAGCGACTAGCACCTCAATAAAAAAAATAATGTGTCCTTATCTTTATATGATTCCGCAAAAAATCAAAGATGCCGGCTTCTTTCATAGCATTGCCACCGACCGCTGTCGGGTTTCTCGGAAAGAAACCTACGTCGCCGGGCGACAACTAAAATCCAGTTAATATTTTATTATAATCGATCCTGAGAATAAATGAATTTCATAAATGAATGAATTTTATAAATGAATGGTTTTTGCTGCCGAATTACTAGAATACAATATTTCAAGGCAGATGACGCATCTATTCGATAATTTTTATTCGAATAGTTTTCAACGAATGTTTTTTTACTAGCTATCGAATTATTCGAATGAATTGCAACTATCGAATGTTTCGATAGTATTCATTCGATAGTTCCCACTACTACCTACATCCCTGCGATAATGTTTCTAAAATTTAAATTCTATGTTATAAAGAACAGAATTGAATAAACGCTAGAATTCTGAAAACCTTATAGTCCTGATAAATATCACACATTGATCGAAACGTTGACAAAATATAAAATTAAGAACTTCTAAGTGTCTTTTATTGACCTATAACCCAAATAGAAAACTGTATCATAGAAATCAAAATTAAAAATGTATTATTATTATTCTTTAAGGGTTAAAAATGTTTTACTGCTTAACGTGGGGCCATCGACAATAGAATAAAAGTGTGGGTGACCTGTCGCCTGTCATGAAACAATTTCAGATCGTTTATTCGGAATTCAGTCGCGAACTGGCATCGAAAGCAGCCAGGTGGCTCAATTTTTTCAGCGCGATCGCAATCGTGGACTGGACAAGCTGAAATTCGAAACGCGCGCTTTCGATGAAGCATAAGAAAATAAGAAATAAAATTTTTACCGGTTGTAAAAGATTACTTCATTAATAAAGTTAAAAAGTAATAATGTATTACCAAAAAATATCTAGATTTTAATTAAACAACCGGTGTAATAGACGTTTATTTGCTAGAAGTATAATGTTTGGGTTGAAAAAGAAACATTTGTTGTGCCTTGGATGGTGATTACCATAAATTTTGTGCAGGTGAATATTCTAATCTAAATTACATAGAATAGAACAAAAATAATGATTTTTCTTTAATAAAATGAAAGAATAATATATATAAAGTATATTAACTCAAAACGCGCGTTACTGACGCAACATAAAAATTAAGTAAATTTATTTTTCCAAAGTTGAAAAATATTTCTACATTAATAAAATTAAAAATCATATACAGGATGAATTTTAAAGAGGTGCACATATTTTTAGGAATAATATGTTCCAGTACCGTTCCAGGTACGCTTCTACGTTTTTTTTTATTATTCGAAAATGTTTTGCATTTTTTTTCATTTTTAGTTAAAAAACATAATACCTTGATAATATGACATAAGCAGTAGAATAAATTTTGAGGAAGGAAAAAAAGTAATCAAAAATCATTAATAATTTAATTTAATAAACAATTTTAAAAAATTAAATAAATTTAAATTTTAATTTTGAACCCTATTTGTAATTACATATTAAGTAAAAACAAAAAATATCTCTAATGATTCTAAATAATTTTTAAGGTGTTAATGTTGAAATTAAGCGTGGAAGTCACTTCGAAAATTTTGACGTTTGGTCGTTATGTTAAATTATACCAGCTAGGTGTAAGATAAAGATGTAAATAAAAATAAGATGTTTCCTCTCGTTAATGGTAAGTAGCTAAACCTCCCAGTGAAGCATCTACGGAGAGAGCTAGTGAAGCTCTATATTTGTCCCATTTAAACTGTGTTTCCAAAAACGCACAGTTTCTGAAATATTTAGTTAGAAAGATTTCGATTGTCGACTTTCTGGATATAACCCTTGAAAAAAATCGAATTATTTATTTATTAACTTTTTCCACTTTTCTCACCTGTTACGGTTAAAAAACGATAATGTAAGAATTCTAAATGCAATTTGACCACCTTTTTAGGTTGCGTTGTATTTAAAAAAAATTGCCGAAAATGAAAAAAAACGTGTTTTTTTTCTCACCCTGTATGTAGATACTTTTTAACAAACTGTGGGATACTAAAAAATTTCATTTTGATTTGAAAGATTTTTTGGGTGACAATCGATGCAGATTGATCAGTTAAATTTTTTAGTGTCCACAGATTGTCAAAAAAGTGCATACAGGGTGAGAACAAAAATAAAAACAGATTTTTTTTATAATAATATAACTATTTTTCGGCAATTTTGTTAAAATACAACATAAACTAAAAAGCGGCTCAAATTGCATATAGAATTTGTGGTGACACACCATGCCAAAACAAAACTTAAGTTGGCAACATACAAGCAACCAATCTGTAGCTACGAAGAAAGCGGTCCATCCCGCCAAAAAAACAAGGAAACAACAACATTGTGAACAACATGGCTGACTATATAACTACCTAAGAAAAACTACCTAGACATCACAATAATCAATTTTTCAACAATCATACAAACAGATTAATTAATTAATTAATTTAATCAAATAACATGCAAAACCACTACAAATTCTTTCATTAACGTCTTCTAACTGTACCAGGTGAGAAAAGTGGAGAAAGTTGATAAATAAAAAATTCGATTTTTTCAAAATAGTGTATTCAGAAGATCGAAAATCAAAATCTTCCAAATTAAATATCTTGGAAACTGTGCATTTTCAAAACACAGTTTAAACGAGGCGAATATAGAGCTTCACTAGCCTAACCTAACCTAACCTATCCATAGGGGATTTACTGGTCGTTTAGCTACTTCCCGTTTCCGAGAGAAAACATCTTATTTTTATTTACACCTTTATTTTTCTTTCTGCTGGTATAATTTAATGTAGCGACCAAAAGTGATTTCAACGCTTAATTTCAACGTTGATTGAGCACAAAGATATTTAAAATGGAAATACTCAATACATGTCATTATTGACAAAAAATAAGCACACGTTATGTATAGTTATTTGACTGAAATAATAAATTTTTATTTTTTTAAATTAATCATAAGTTTTTCTGCGAAAAAATGATGATTAACACATTTCTTTTGAACTTTTGACACAAAAAGATTTCAAATTTATGATCAGTCTAATTACTATTTAGTCAACATGTTTAATTTATGTCAATGATGACAGGTATTGATAATTTCGATTCCAAATATCTCGAGAACCATTACTCGTAGCGATTTTTACCAAGAGACCTTTTTTATGCAACAAAAATCGCAAATGTATATTTTTTTACTCAGTAGTTTTATACAGGTACCGACGAAAAGTTATTATTCTTCAAAACAGTTAAAACACATTTAGGTGGCGCCACCTACAAAAGGGAGTCATATTGATATCAAAATCAAATTTATCATGTCAAAAAACACCCATCCACCAATTTTCATCCAAATATTGACGTTACTTTACAGATTATTTGGAAAAAATCGAAATAAAAATGAAACTTCTATACCCTGTATCTCCGAAACTAAGCATTTTCGGACATACATTTATACGAACTTTTTTACTTATTTTTATGTGCAGAATATGCTGCTGAAGTTTCCGGAATACAGTTCGGACCACCCTGTATATTAATTTTAAAACTTTGCTGTGGTGTAATATCGTAGCCGGCATCTGAGCTTTCTCTTAGGTAGTGTCTTTTTACTTGCTTTTTACGTCTTTCCGGAAAATTGTCTTCAATTTTACATTCTTCACAAACTTTTTTTGCCTTTTCGAAAACGTTATCTACAGTCTCGCGAATATTCTGAATCTGCCTTGTTAATTCCTTGTTTAATTCAGAGGCTTTGTCGATAGCAAGAGTTTTCGACTGTAAAGCAACGCTTACCCTATCAACATACTCCAAAACTTGATCCTAAATTGGCAGAGTACATATAAATTTATAGTTTATTATAGACCCATAATGCTTTCAGCTGTAGCTATTGTTTCTGCATTGTAATCGTTGGTAGTTAAAATCTTTAGTACGCACCAGATTTGGGGCAGTTGCATATTTAAAGCTTTAACGGCTCTAGCTTTAGAAACCCATCTAGTGTCGGCGTGATTATAGGGGTGAGCCACTTTTCAGACGCATTCAGTATATCTATGGTATAATCTATACATATAAAGTGCGTCTGCGGGATCTGTGTCTATGAAAGGAATGCGGACAAAAAACATTTAAATAAACAGCAATATATTTTATACGTCGACTTGACGAGTACGTCACCGCAAATCGCTCCACCCATTCATTTTATTGGCTACTTGAAAATTTGTCGAATTTTTATTGATGGGACGCGTCCTCTAATTTTTTTACGAAAAGCATCGAGAGAATATCATTTCCCCTCTCACGGATACCCCGTAGCTACAGAACGGACAGACGCACTGTAGGTAAAAAATAGAAAAAGTTTCGTTTGATGAAACTTATGGTAGGCTGTGGTAGGTCTATGACTAGGCCAATTCATGACTGTCTGAACAGAATCGTAAAATGTTTGCGACAATATCGTCATTCGTAAAATCATTTGAGACCGTTTAATTTTAATTCATTCAGTCGCAAACCTACGCTGACAGTGTTTACGCGATATTTTTTCAGCGGAATCATTTAAGATATCGTGAATTTTATGTTTTTTGAGTATTTAAATTTAAAATAAGCTCTGTTAGGAAAAAAAGGAAAGTGTTAATGGAAAGTGTTAATTAATGTACCAATTAACTAAAATTAAACTCGGAAAAAGTGAAATAGCATCCTAATGTTAATAAAAACCATCAACAATATTTGTTATAACACAAAACATCGTAAAATGCTACACAGTGACAAGTTTGATTTGTTTAGGAGTAACGTAACGTACTTAAATAATAACGATGTCATCACCCGTAAAACAAGATCATTTTAGATTCTAGTAAATTTAAACTTTACTATTTGATTTTATTATTTTCGAATGGGATTGGCAGGTATTACTCAGAGATGAGGTAAGTGTGTAAGTTTAGAGTAATTAATTAAATGTACATTACATACTATAGACAGTAATATTAGGTAAAATATATGTTTACCATCATAATATTGCAACAGAAGATATACAGGGTTATTCGACACTGTTACTACAGGGTTATTCACACACAGTATTGTAGGCCCACGATTAGATTTTTAGAAAATTAATCAATTTTTAAATAGAACACACTATATATTCTACAAGAACCAGATGGCACAATTTAATTGTCTATCAAATTATATTATACCATTTTTTTACCTATCTCTTTTTTTATAGAAAAAGCATTTTCCTTATAATTTTTTGCATTATTTTTAAAGATGTAACAAAAAACACATATTATATTGTATATAGTGTCGATATAGTAATAATATACAGGGTACATAATAATACACAATATAAAACCCATTATAACAGTATCACAGTTTCGGCAGAATGGCATACGGCAGCTGTATATACGACAGTTTATTGTCGATATAGTTCGGTTATTTCATTAAAAAATAAAAAAACTGCTTAAATGTTTGTTAAAGAGGACCAATTAATATCTCAGTATTCCAACTACATTAAATGACTGTTTGGGTTGATTAATAATTATTGCTCGAAATACTTAAAAAACTGAATTTTGTATACGTATTACACAGTGTGGTAAAAAGTAACACCTTATAAATCTTATTTCATTTTGACGAATGTTTATTTATAACAACAGAGACATCACATTCATAACTTATTATTATATTGATTTCTGATTCAAATCCATATTTATTTAGAATAATTTATTAACTGACACAATTAAGTATGTAATTAATTCATATTTGGGCGGAAATAATGATGGTGTAATTTAATCGGTGTATTCTTTTACAAATATTTAAATTGTTTTCTTTTTGTAAACAAAAGTTGGCTTGGAAATGACGATCGATGACATTCCCCATATAACTTTGCGTACAAAATGACAGTGATCTTCATTTCACAGCCATCTCTGACGCCGTTCTTTTTTTCGTTCTAATTGTAAAATATAACCGCCAGATTTACACTTTAGGGTTATATATTTCATTATATCTCCCAAAATAAAGCAAAATAAGGTATTTTATTTTTCTGATTTCCTTGGAAAATATAGGTACCTTAATTTTTTAGTTACATACTTGTATCTCAATTGTAGTTGCGGCGTTTTTCTTTAATACTACAATATATACTGGGGGGGCAAGAACGAATATGGTTTATTATGTATATTTTGTACAAAAATAATATAAATGTGCAAACAAAATAAATGTATAAAACCAAATCAAATTGGACCTAATGAAAATCTTTGCTAAAGCACTAACTAAAGATGGGCCAGCTTTTCAGTACTAATTAAAGAAGGTATTTTTATTGGGCCACAAATCCGAAATATCCTTAAAGACGAACATTTTAATAACACTTTAACAGATATTAAAAAAAAACTGATTTTCGCCTGGTGGTCACTACCTTGTGAGATAAAAAAGCTGATTATTACGTTCCTCTGCTTAAAAATACGCTGTCATCATATCAAAAAATGGGTTACAATATGTCTCTGAAGATTCTTTTTCTTCACTCACACCTGGACATTTTTTCCCACAGCTGCGGAGTTGTAAGTGATGAACACAGCGAACGCTTTCGCTTTCATCAAGGCATGTTAAGAATGGAGAAAAGGTACCAGGGAAATTGTAATCCTTCCATGCTTGTGGACTACTTTTGGACTCTTGTTAGAGATGCTTCAGAAACAGGGATCGGAGTATTTGGGACGAGAACTAAATACTCCGAACCAATGGGGGCCTACCCTAGCATCCTGCAGGCAGAAATCTACGCTGTCGAAAGATCCGTACAACTTATCTTAGGTAGGAACCATCGGAAACAAGAAATATCCATCTTATATGATAGTCAAGCAGCGTTAAAAGCGATCAACTTAGTATCAATCAATTCGAAGTTGGTCAAAGACTGCACAGAAAAGCTGAACGAATCAGGCAAAAAAAATAAAGTCCTCCTACTCTTCGTGTCAACTCGCCAAGGGATAGAAGGTAATGACAAAGCAAATAATCTAGGTAAAATGCTAGAGAATCTAGAGAACACTCCACTAACTGGACCAGAGCTGGTCTGCTTTCCAAGCGGAAACCAACTAAAAGCGGAACTCAAGAACTTGGAAGACTCCACCCGTAATCTGGAATGGGAATATTGCAACGAGAAGAAGTTTCTGAGGACTTACGACCAAGAAAAATCAAAGAGTTTTCTTGTTTTAAGTAAGACCAATCTTCGGATTGTCACGGGGTTTTAGGACACTGTCTCCTCAACGAACGCCTCAGTGGCGAAATAGCGAATGCCGATTCTGTGAGAAAAATGGGGAAACACTGCTTTGGTACGACTAATATCGGAGACGGAGAACTACCCTCTGTTAAACCGTCCTAGATACTGGCTTTTGTCAAAGCCCTCTGATGATGTATCAAGAAAAGGGGACACAATAGATCTGTAAGCTCGCGGTGATTAACAACCTCCCACTCATTCTACATTCTACATCGTATAAATTATCGAAAGGGTTAAAAGTGATTTCTGTAGAGTTTTTTACGTAGAATCCAGTGCGTAACTAGTTTTTCACTTTCGAAATATAACTCAGACTTATTTTTTTTTAATAGGACACCCTGTATATAATTTTTTTGTTTTATTTTTTCACTCATAAACGAGAAACCCCATAAAACACACGTAAATGGGACACCCTAGACGAACAACAAGAGATTTTAGAATAAGTCACAAAAACTTAAATATTGTAGAAACAAATTAATAATAAATTTATTTAGATCCTTTAACGAAAATTATCAGATCATAAACACCTTAATAAAATCCGAATAGAAATAAAACGCTAATTAAATATTTAACTTAAAGAGAATGGTGCTCACATCCAAGCCCATATGCGAAACGGCGACAATACCAATTTATTTATGAGTCAGATTTTATGACTCTTTTAAATAGAGCATGACCGAACGGTGCCCCCGTGTTAATTTGCAGCGGATTGAAGCAGTTGCTACCACTGTCTGGAAATGAACTCGCTAGCAATGATGAGGAAGTGCTAAAACGTATTAGTCTTTTTTCGTTGATCTAATTACTACCATTAAATATACTTAACAATGACATAATGTTATATTAGTTAGTTAGTAATACTTCCGTTTTTACGTCAAATAAAATATTCGAGAAATAACAGTCAAGCTCCATAAGCGCCGACTCGTCCATTTGATACGTTCATGTACGCAGAGAAGCTCACAGAAAACTTAAGTCTTTTTTTGATTTAAATCATTTTAATGCCATTAAGTTTGCATTTGATTTTGAGTTATTTTTCAAGTCTTTATGAAGTTTATTTGAGATTTAAATCTTTATTCCGAAATAGAAAAAGATTTAAGTCTTTTTAGAAAAGACTTAAGTCATTAAAAAGATTTAAGTCTTCTTATAAAAACATGCTTAAGTCAGATTTTTATATATATATTTTATGATACATTTTTAAAAGCAGTATTTCTTTTTAAGCTGTTAGGCGGCAGCCGAGCAACAGAATAAAAAGCTATGCTCAATACCACTAGTCAGATGCTTATACAGGAATTTATTTTAGGGGGGGGGGGGCAAATGAAATCAGTAATTTTAGCTAAGTTGTGTTTTTTGTAATGGAACACCCTATATATTAATTAATTTTCGGATTCCAGAAAAAAATAAAGGTGAGTTTCATTAGAAAAGTATGTGGCTAAAATGTAAAGTTTTTGAAATATTTAGAATTTTTTAAAAATGAAGAATAAATTTTAAATTTTAATCCTTTATCCTTAAAAATTTCCATAATTTGAGGTCTGGAAAACTACTGGCTACCGTGTCGTATAACGGATTCAACTTCTGAATGCTTTTAAGAACGGAATATTCGGACTACAACTGGGTATATGAATGAAGAATATGAAGATGAAGAAAATGGGGATTTAGAATTTAAAAATATCTCAAAAAATCTGGAAGGAATGGAATCAAATATCACAATCTTATTACCTAAACGCATTCGATGTACTTCACATACGTTGAATCTTATTGCGACTACCAATATAAAAAATATAATTCAGAAAGATGTAACATGGCAAGTCGAACCAAAGCCGCGGAAATTATTCAAGAACCCTTAGCCACACATTAAGTTATCGAGGGACAACACGCTGGAATTCTCTGTATTATGCTCTAACATAAATTATTCAAGAATAAGACTGTTTAATAGAGCTATTCGAAAAGATGGGTATTAAAAATCAGATGCTCAGAGATGTTGAAATTGCTTCTTTAATTGACTACTGCCCGAATCTCGAAACATTTAGCAAATTCAATATTGACAGTTTACGATGTGAAAAAATACCTTTTATGGATATTTTATATCTAACGAATCTGTTTGCAGAGAAGGTGAATTTGGCGATATCAACTCATATATACGCATAAACTTGTAGTAGAGACAGCCCGGAAAATAGACGCAACGAAAAGTGTATCCATTGAAAACAAAATTATAATACACACTACCGGTTATTTATTCGTATCCAACTCAGTATATGAAAAAAAATCAAGAAATACAAAAACATTTTACATATAAAATATACAAAACGGCCAAATTAATAAAAAAGGTACATCATACATTTAAAAAAACATAGTCAAACAATCAACATAAATAGGAACAAAACTTGTACAGAATTAGACAAACTACAAAAAATATATGTATATGCACACAGCGGTTATATACAGGATATCCAGTACTTGGTACACTCCAGAGCGTTGGTATTTCCCTCCGCCAGATCACTCTTATTGCATATGTTAGGGAGATTTGGGCATACGAGAAGATGCCTTATATTTTGTTCCTCTCCGCATTCACAGGATACAGGTCCGTCAAGGGAGCCCCACTGGTTCATGTTTGTCTTGCATCTGCCAACCTGAGTACGCAAACGGTTCAGACTCCTCCACACCGGCCATGCCTGTTCCGCACCA